TATATATATATTTATGTATATATGTATGTAGATAGTGTGTGTGTATATATATATATATGACAACGATGACTACAACTACTACCACCACTGCTACGACTGCAGCTATTATACTGCTGCTGCTGCTGCTACTACTACTACTACTACTGCTACTACTAGACTACTACTAAGTAACTGCTACTGCTAGTGTATATACTGCTACCACTACGACCACTACTGCTACTACTGCTGTTGCTCCTCCTCTGCCTCCTGCTGCTGCTGGTGTTGCTGTAGTTGTTGCTGTTGGTGTGGGTGTTGCTGCTGTGGTTGCTGCTGTTGCTTTGCTCGTGCACTCGTAGCACTAGTACTACTAGTACAACTATAGTACTAGTAGTACTACTTAAGTGCTGCTGGTGCTACTGGCACTACAAGTACAACTAGCATTACAAGTACCACTGGTGCTAATACTGTGGTTGCTACAGCTACTACTATAGCTAGTTGCACTCCAACCAGTATATAGTGGTACTAGTAGTAATAGCAGCAGAAGCAGCTGTTTCAGAGTTCCCTTGTACTGCATGGGAACTGCATATAGGTATCACTGTACATGTACATTGTAATTACATATCTGCAATATATGTGCACAGATATAACACCAGCACAGTTTGTGACATCGATGGCAAGCTTTAATTGATAACCGATAGATTATTCGAATTCGGGTTCAGGATGTTTAGGCTCTGTGGGTGGTGTCAAGTGAAAACGACTGGCTAGGATTGCAGGCGGTTAGGTTTGCTCCTTAGCTCTGGATTTTCGGAATTTGGGTGCAGGGTTTAGGTTCAAGAGTCGGGGAGGTAGCAGCACTTGGGGTTGGCTTGTAAGCCACATGTAGTATTAGGGATTTTGAGGGGAGCCAATTAACACCATTCGGAGGGCTACCTAGTATTAATCCGATGTAGATCGATAGTGTGAATACCCAGAGTTTTATATGTAGTTAGTTAAGTAGATCTGGAGTAAACCACATGACCCTTGAGGAGGCCTCTAGGTCCATGCTGCCCATCATGTCCTCAAGCTCTCTCATGATCAACTGCTCGTCCACATTCTCTTCGATCATCATCAAGCTCTGCTCCTCGGTGAGTTTCCCACCATTGCCTGCAATCTTGTCATGGAAGAGGCCCCACATGTATAGGATGGGCCCCACACTGTTGCTGATGGCAACACATGCAGCAAGCTCCTTCTGATCCAGGTGGCGCTGCAGATCATCAAGCTTGTTGCGCCTCCACTGCTCTGTGGCTGCAGTGCGACGGTTCACTTGATCCTCACCGATCTCACCCTTTTTAAAGGCGTAGTTCTGTTTCAGCAGCATGGCCTCAGCCTGGCTGTGGACCGAAGCAGACATTGTCTTAGTCTTCTGTTGCATCTCTGCAAGCTCAGCAGCTTTGCCCCAAGCAACATTGATGACATCAAGCCTGCCTGGCAAGCTTGCCCTATCCCCATGCAGCTCCTCTTTGCAATCCTCCAACCTGACCAGACCCAGGTTCGGGTCACGAGGCAAAGCATCCTTCATCCACGTGACCATGGATGCTGCCCCTTCGGCTTGAACAGCTTCAGCAAGATTGGGCCACGTTTGGTCCGGGGCTGCCATTCCAAAGTAGGCCTCAAAGATCAATCTTCGGACACTGGTGGAGGGCTCCACTTCAGGTTCAAGGGGCTCTATCAGCTGGCTGGATGAGCCAACCATTGTACTTTGGGTATCCGGTCTGCGAAGGGACGACTGGGTCGACGTCGGCTCTCCAGGGCCTCTGCACACACACACACACAAATATGCACTTGTGAAAAGTAGCAGTGCTGCACATGTACTACACTAGACACAGAGCATCCATATCACCAAGAATACCATTATAAATCAGCACTGGAACAGTGGAGGAACCTGGCCTGTGTTCAAGCAGCCTGCTGGCACCGGAGTCGGCACCTGCAGGGAATTGGGTTTAGGGCCGGTTTCGGGTGTATATAGGTTTTTAATTTAAATAAATTAAAGTGTTTAGGGTCCAGGGTTTAGGGTTTATATAATGGGATGGTGGTGATAGAGTGATATCTCACCTCAGCTTGCGTGGGCTCTTCAGCAAAGAGTGTCCTTCTGGCTTTCTTGTAATCCGGGCTTTTGATAGGTGTTGCACCTTGGGTCTTGGCCATGACCTGTGCATGCTGGGCCCCACGAGCTGGAGTTTGGCCTGTCATGTCAACATCCTTAGATGGACTCGGTGCTTTGGGTCGGGCTGGACTCAGCACTTTGGGTTCTGTCGTTGTCAGGGCAACCTGGGATGGACTCGGCGCTTTGGGTTCTGTCGTTGTCGGGGCAACCTGGCATGGACTCGGCACTTTGGGTTCTGTCGTTGTCGGGGCAACCTGGGATGGACTCGGCGCTTTGGGTTCTGTCCTTGTTGGGGCAACCTGGGCTGGGCTTGACAGCTTTCTTGGGCTGGCCCCTGGCTGCATCTCTGGCTTCGTCGGTATTGGGCCT